CCACTGGGTACCACCTAGGGATACCCAGGGCAGGAGTCTGCTTCTGGCTGCAGAGCATGGGGAAGGCATCAAGATGCCCTGAATAGTCAAGTGCCAGTGGCTCACACCTGTAATCCTAGTTACTTGAACAGCCCCGGAAAATAATTTGCAAGACCCCATCTCTAAAAATAAGCAGACGTGTGGCTCAAGTGGTAGAGTGCTTGCTTTTGGAACACCTGCTTTGCATGTGTGAAACCCTGAGTTTGAACCCCAGTCCCACCAAAATAAATAAATACATAAAATAAGTAACCCTGAATTTGTGGCTTAGAAGATAGGGATGCACCTGCCTAATCTCGGCCATAGCAGCTGCTTGGTGCACTTTTTGTTGTTGTTCAAAAAGTGACAAATGAATTCATTAACATTTTGAAGTTTCATTAAATTCTTAGCATTAGTTGTAGTGAAGTGTCCATAATTAATAATTTAATTAAAAGTGTTAATAATATTAAAGTTTTACTAAGTATGAAAATGCTTCCCAACATGAAAATTTTGTTGTAGCCGTTCTGTTTGTTTTGTTTTGTTTTTGCTGTACTGGGCTTTGAACCTTAGTCTTTGTACTTGCTAGGTAGGCTCATTCTACTGTTTGAGCTACACCTCCAGCCCTTTTTGCTCAGGTTATTTTGGAAATAAGGTCTTGTTTTTTGCCCAGCCTGGCCTGGACAGAGATCCTCCTATTTTATGCTTCCCACCATCACTGGGATAACGGGCGTGCCACTGTGCCCAGCTATTGGTTGAGATGGGGTCTTGCTAACTCCTTGTCCTTGGCTGACTTGAAGCCTGGATCCTCCTGATCTCAGCCTCCCAAGTAGCTCAGATGGCAGGTGTGGGTCACTGGCACCGGGCCATTTTCAAGTACCTTCATGACTTTGATTGCCCCTGAGGTTCACATCTTTTTTTTTTTTTTTTTTTTTTTCATTTTTCTTTTATTATTCATATGTGCATACAAGGCTTAGTTTATTTCTCCCCCCTGCCCCCACCCCCTCCCTTACCACCCACTCCACCCCCTCCCGCTCCCCCCCTCAATACCCTGCAGAAACTATTTTGCCCTTATCTCTAATTTTGTTGTAGAGAGAGTATAAGCAATAATAGGAAGGAACAAGGGGTTTTGCTGGTTGAGATAAGGATAGCTATACAGGGCATTGACTCACATTGATTTCCTGTGCGTGGGTGTTACCTTCTAGGTTAATTCTTTTTAATCTAACCTTTTCTCTAGTTCCTGGTCCCCTTTTCCTATTGGCCTCAGTTGCTTTAAGGTATCTGCTTTAGTTTCTCTGCGTTAAGGGCAACAAATGCTAGCTAGTTTTTTAGGTGTCTTACCTATCCTCACCCCTCCCTTGTGTGCTCTCGCTTTTATCATGTGCTCATAGTCCAATCCCCTTGTTGTGTTTGCCCTTGATCTAATGTCCACATATGAGGGAGAACCTGAGGTTCACATCTTGAGATGCTGAGTTAGGTAATGTTGCATCGCTGTGACTGCACAGGTCCTAAAGTCTCAAGGCCAAAGAAGGGCACTAAAGGCAAAAATAGGAGTTCAAGAAATGTTATCATTCGCTGGTCAATGGATGGAATTGGAGAACATCATTCTGAGTGAGGTTAGCCTGGCCCAAAAGACCAAAAATCGTATGTTCTCCCTCATATGTGGACATTAGATCAAGGGCAAACACAACAAGGGGATTGGACTATGAGCACATGATAAAGCGAGAGCACACAAGGGAGGGGTGAGGATAGGTAAGACACCTAAAAAACTAGCTAGCATTTGTTGCCCTTAACGCAGAGAAACTAAAGCAGATACCTTAAAAGCAACTGAGGCCAATAGGAAAAGGGGACCAGGTACTAGAGAAAAGGTGAGATCAAAAAGAATTAACCTAGAAGGAAATCAATGTGAGTCAACTCCCTGTATAGCTATCCTTATCTCAACCAGCAAAAACCCTTGTTCCTTCCTATTATTGCTTATACTCTCTCTACAACAAAATTAGAGATAAGGGCAAAATAGTTTCTGCTGGGTATTGAGGGGGTGGGGGGGAGAGGGAGTGGGTGGTAAGGGAGGGGGTGGGGCAGGGGGGAGAAATGACCCAAGCCTTGTATGCACATATGAATAATAAAAAAAAAAGAGAGAGAAAAAAAAATAGGAGTTCAAGGGCCTGAAGGAAGTGAGTTATGGTCTGGGCAGATGATTGGTGTTTAGACCTTGGAGACTGAAGGGTGCTGGGTGGCGACCAGAAGGAGGCCATGGGGAGGCTGAGGGAGAGGGAGTGAGAGTCCTGCCAAGGTCATAACATCACATAAGCCGCATCTTACCCCTTCCTCCATCTCCCCTCTACTTGGCTGACTCAGGGCCAATGTTTCAGCTCCAAACTCAATGGACTGCTGGGCCAACATGGCCGAGACCTCTGGGAGGGACCGGGCCTGGTGTATCCACATCTCCCTTCTCCACAAGTTGTCTCTCAGGTGAGGTCTCACTGTAGTCCCATGGTCCACCTGGAGGAGGACTGGACCACTCAGAGGCTCTGGGTGTGAGTTAAGGAGCAGCAGATGTTTCTTGAGAACATCTTTGAGGCTAACTCAGTTTTGAGGCCTTGGGAGGAGCATCTCTAGAGGGCCGTAGCCTGTGTGGACATTCTTCCACAACGTTCTCTGTGGCCCTGAGGAATCTTTGAGTGAGGTGTGTGAAGGCAGCAGACTGGGGCCAGCCTCAGAAGTATTCCTCCAGCACACAGGCAGAGTGAATGAATGAATGAGCGAGTGAATGAAGGAATGGGTGGGTGAGTTCAAGTGTTCATAAATGAATGACCAATGCTTGGGTGGTCCTTGGAATTGGCAAAGGGTGCCTCAGTGCCTGGTAGGTGGGAAGCTCTCACCTACCAGGGAAGTAGGAATTGGCAGTGGGTGAGTGTAGGATGAGACTCAGAGGTTTCCTGAGCCCACAGAGTGGCCAAAAGTCCTAAATAAATAAACATGCTTATTTCCCACAGTTGACTTAGAGGATAACGAAGTGATATACTCTTCCTTTGGGAGTTTCAAACACTCATCCCTCTATAGTTGTTCTTTAATTTTAGCTCCTCAGCTGTTGGCTGCAGGCTTCTTTCCATCCCCGTGTCCCAGAGTTGGGAGGAAGGGGTGAGGGGCTGCCTTAGTGCCTTTATTGTCCCAGGTGGGAAGGACACAAAGGACCATTATCCTCTCCATTCTCACTCTCAGAGTTGCACAGCTTGGATCCTTCTAGCAAACCAGGACTCAAGCCAGAATATTCCTCTCCCTTTCTCCCCTCTTTCCCTCCTGTCTTTCCTGAAATGAATTTTGAGTTCATGGGGCCTTGCCACATCTGTTCAGTCCCTGGCATGGCACTGACTCAGAATATTACAGTGTAGTGGCCATGGCATGTCACCTCTGAGTACACACACACTGAGCATCTGTGTCTGTAGCTGTGAGCGAGGCCCAGGGGACACAAGGAGACCTTCGTCTCTGGCTCTGTCTTCAGGGAGCACTGGCAGGCCCCAAGGACAGGAACCCACCCAAGAAAGTGACAGCACTGCAGAGGGGCCACAGTTCAGGAGAGAAAAGCTCTGGGACCTTCACCATTCCTGTCCAGGGATGCTGGGGTTGTGATTCCTCAGTGTCATCCCACACAGTGGTCCCTTCTCCCACGGGTCCAGCTTTATACTGGGACCATCCCTCTAGGAAGGGACATGTGATGGTATCGTTGTTCTGGGGTTCTGTGAGTGGCCGATTCTCACCCTCCTTCCTGCCGCCTCTCCAAAGCCCAGAGCTCTGGCCCAGGGTGCAGGTGGGGTGGACAGGAGGGATTAGGAGCAGTCTGATGATATATTGTGGCACTCAGAGGAACATCAGGCCAGCACTTTGGCTCAAGTAATAAGATGTCAGGACATATGCATCCATCCATTTGTCTCCAATGTGTGAAAGACACTGGGGACCCTGGGAGCACAAGGTACGGTGTGGTGAAGAAGCAGGTGGCTGGGCCATAGCATCTGCCATCCATCATGCCCCAGCATTAGCACCTGCGGGCGCAGTGGCTATGACATAGGGCCACTGAAGCAGCAAGCAAAAGTCCCAGAGAAGCTGCATCACTGTGCATTGATTCTGAGCAGCTCTAGCATTAGCCTGTGATGGCTTGCTTGTCCTTACGGGCAGTTCTCGCTGCAGTAGCTTGTCCAAGTCCTGGGGTTTTACTGACAAGGCACTTCCTCTATGCCTAGCCTAGTGCCAGGCTCAAGTGCATCCCCAGGAGACTGTCAGTCTTCAGGGTGCCTGGCAGTGTCCACTCTAGTTTCTAGGCCCTTCAAGGCACCTCATCTGGGAGGCTGGTGCTCTCTTGGACCCACCCTTTTCATGCCCAGCAAAGAGCCTAGGTTGGGGTGTGAGCTTTAAACTCAGAGTGACAAGTTTGAATTCAGCCTTTATAATTCACGGGCTCTCACCTTGGACACTTATACTTTTTGGTGGTACTGGGGTTTAAACTCAGGGCTTTGCACTTGCTAGGCAGGTGCTCTGTTGATTAAATCATACCTCCAGCCCCTTTTGTTCTAGTTATTTGAGGATAGGGTCTCTCTTTTTGACCTAACCTAGCTTGGACCACTATCCTCCTATTTTATGCTTCCTGCCTTCATTGGATGGTGGGTACCTGCCATCATACCCAGCTCTTTTTCAGTTGGAATGGGGTCTTGTAAACTCCCTCCCTCCTCCTCTCCCCACCTTGAAACATGATCCTCCAAACATGATCCTCCTGATGTCAACCTCCCAAGTAATTAGGATTACAGGTGTGAGACACTGGCGCTCAGGTTGGACACTTTTTAAAGTCTCATCAGACTCAGTTTCCTCATCTGTACAGTGAGCAGATGGGGCAAGATACAAATGAGGGAATGTGTTTGGCTCCTACCTGGTGTGTACTAAGCGCTCACCAGAGCGCTTCTGCCTGTGGCCGCCTCTGATGCTGAACTTTGTCTCAGGTGACAGGAACACCCTCAAGAGGCTTTGATGAGAAGGCCTACCTGTCAGCCAAGCAGCTGAAGCCTGGAGAGGACCCCTATAGGCAGCATGCATTCAACCAGCTGGAGAGCGACAAGCTGAGCCCAGACAGGCCCATCCGGGACACTCGCCATTACAGGTATGGCCGCTATGGTGTCAATGGGAAGAAAAAGGTTGAGAAAAGGCCAACATTGTTTAGCAAGTTTTCTTTCACTCACACATACTTCACAAATGAGGAAGATTTTCTTAGTCTTGGTCTGGTGATTTAGACATCCAAATGACCTCACCCTCAATTGCTGTCCTGCTGCCTTGATATTTCGTTGTCATTCTATGGGCCCCAGCCTGGGCCAGGGAGGCACCTCAGCACCTCAATCTGGCATCCCAGCAAGAATGACCTGCCAGGAGGAAAGAGGGGAAAGGGTGGGAGAGGGGGGCAGGGTGGAGAAATGACCCAAACAATGTATGCACATGTGAACAAATGAATAAAAAAAAAAATGACCTGCCAGAGGACTATGAGGAAGTCCCAGGGGACTTGTCCTGCCTGGACAAGCCAGGCAGCAGCAGAGGGGCCTCTAGCCCTGCCCAGTGCAAACAGTGAGTACAGTGACCATCCTATCCACATCCCTTTCTTTGCCTCCTGCCCCACTGCTCTGCTTCCTCAGGCACTCCCAGAAATGCTGCCCAGTCTTGTTCTTAGTTTCCTATTCACATGGGAAATGGGTGAGGACCTAGACCAGGGTCAAGGAGACCACCACACTAGCCCAGCTCTGATGCAGCTCAGTGTGGGTAACCATCCTTGGGCAAGTCCTTGTGTGTTCTACTGGGAGTTTGAGTCAACACCTCCAGTCTTTCCCCTTCCTGCCATCACTTGTGGAAACAGTCCAACTCCTTATACCAAAGCCCTCCCACCCCATCCCCAGCCTCATCTACCTTTCAGCCATCCTGATTCCTATGTCTGAACACCACCCCCTATATCTTTCAAGATTTGGCTCAGTGTCCTCTCCTCTAGGGAAGTTTTCTGCCAAGCCTGGCTAGTTCCAGGTCCTCCTCTGCACTCCATGCAGACATTTAATGGAACCTCCAGGGCACTGCTGTAGCTGATCTACCACTCTGCCCGTCTACAGCTTTGAGTGACAATTGGAGCTGCGTGGGACCCAGCCAGACATAGAGCTGGGATGGGCCTCCATCTGGTCCTGGTTTGGGGGTAGGCAAGAATGACTTCTGAAGCAGCTATTCCATAACACAAAGGGCACATATGAGATATGGGTGCACCTTCCTTGTCGCTCATGGAGACATACCTGAAGTCCAGTGGGCTTAGTGGATTGTGCAAGGTAAGATGGTCACAGGGTTGGGGGAAATCCCAGACCCTGGCCTCGCTGTCTTGTTACCCCAGCACTGTCAACCTTTGAGGAACCCTGCATGCTACCAAATAAAGCCATCACCCTCTACTAGACAAGGTCCCTACCAGGCCTAACGGCCACTTCTAGATTATCAAAGTCCTTCCATTCAGCCCAGGGACAACTTTCCTTCACTTCTTGTGCTGCAGACAAGGCTAGGTCCATGTACGTCTGCTTGGAGGCCTTTAGTGGTTAGCTCTAGCCAGGACCTGAAGGATCTGTGAAACAGGCCTGATCTGTGAACCGAGGGCTTGGCCTGGATCATCTCTGCCCACTCACCCAGCTCACCCCGACTCCAAACCATCTCAGATGTTCCTGGAGAAGCCTAAAGGGGAAATTGCCCTCGGGGCTATGTACATTAGAAAATGAGACTACATCCCCGGCAGTCGTGGGTTGGTGAAATGCCAGCTGCTACCTCCAGAGCCTCTCAGAGAGCCAAGGTGGATTGTGTATGTGTGTGTGTGTGTGTGTGTGTGTGTGTGTGTGTGCGCGCGCACATGTGTAGAGGAAACAACAAAGGAAGTGCTAGCCTTAGCAGGCAGGGCCTCTCATGGTGGAAGTGGTGTGCTGGTGTGAGCCATATCTCCTAAGCTGTGGTTTCTGCTGGACTCTGGTCCATTCCTCATCTAGGAAACATCTCCCCTCTCCCGCCCCAGCCAAGGGGTGCAAAGGGTCATAAACCACAGAAAACAGACCTACTAGGATCATGGGGAAAACCCCACCAGCCCAAACTCAAAGCATGGGAACAGGACTGACCTCTTCAGATACTCCTGGCTCCTGGGACTTGGGTACCCCCATCCTCACAGATGAGAGTCCAGAGGAAGGTGGGTTTGAGGGAAGTTCAAAACCATCCTCCAGATGGGTATAGGAGGTTTTCCCTCTTTAGGGAGAAAAGGGCATTGCTGTACAATTTCCTTCCTTAAACACCACATGACTGGGGGACAAGGACGGGGAGCCAGGGCCCTGGAGGTCGTTGTTATAAGGCTGGGTGCCACCCGTCCCTTCTAGGTCAGCCAAGTCCACTCCAGCCTCCAGCCCCAGGCTCCTGGGAGCAGGCACTTGGAAAGAATGGCTTCTCTGGGGCCGAAGGAGAATTTTCCCCCGCCCACCGCCCCTCTCCAGGAGAATTATTTCAAATCCTCTCAGGATTTCTCCCATGGGGGTCCCAAGCTAGTGGAACTCCTGCCTGTCTGACCAGGCTGCTCTGCAGGACAGGAAATGGGCCCGAGAACTCGGGCTGTGAGCACCTGTCAGTGGAGCAAATGCTGTAATGAAAAAATAGTTGCTGCTGGAATAGTCGGGGAGCAATTGTAATAAAGATTGCTTATGAAAACCAGTGGAGGTGGCTGCCTTCCAGCTGCCTAGGAGCCCGAATAAGTGCATTCGCAGAAACAGGGAGGCAGGCCGGCAAGAATGGAGTGGTTTAATTCCCCTTCCTGAAAAGAGGGGGAGCCAAAGATGGGATGTCTGTAGGTGGGGGAGCCCAGGACTACTGGAGAAGAAGCAGGGTGGCAGGAAATACCTTGATGTCTTCTCAGAGACTGTTTTCCTTGGAACCTGTCCCTGCCTGGTGTCTCCAGTGAGGCTGTTTCTGCTGCAGAGAGGAGGAAGCCTCTGGCAGACAGGATAGGTGGTTCCTCCCCAGATCCTACTAAATGGCCCGAGCTGAGAGATGGGAAGTAAGAACTCCAGGGTATCAGAAGACAAAAGGAAATTGGTGTGGTATTCCTCCACTCCCCATTCTGTCCCATTGGCCTACCCCATTGGCAGGAACTTCTGTTTGGTTCTGAGCTGTATCCTGGGGCCTGGTGCAGGACCTGTTCACCGGAAGGATCCTTCCTAAGCAGGCAGTAGATGCAGGATCTGTGGGTGCTCTTGGTCTTTGCTAAAGATCTCCCAGGCCTAGGGAGGCCCCTCAACTTGCTGCTTCCCTCCTCGGGCCCTAGGCCAGGTGCCATCCAGTCACTGGGCCACTGTGGGACTGAGCATGGATGTGGGGTGTAGGCTTGTCCTGGCTTCAGACTTGCCCTCTGTGCCTCACAGAAGTAGTCTAGGGAGCAGGAGACTAGACAGAGAAAAGCACTGAACCCACCTGAGGATGTCCCCACGACTGGCCTCTGGCCTCCCTGCTGTCTTCTCAGTTGCCCGTCCTTGTCCTACTCCTTGGATTTGCCAGCCACCAGTGTCATCATCACCTTCCACAATGAGGCACGCTCCACCCTCCTGCGTACAGTGAAGAGGTAAGCCCAGCCTCAGTGCCTCATCTCAGTGGCACAGCACACCCACCGCCACCCCCCACCTTGGGTCTGCAGAGGCTCCGACTGGGCAGGACATTGAGACCAGGGACTGTGGCCAGACAGTGGGAAAACCAGTGGGCACTGGGAGGGTGAGTCCTATCCTTCTGAGAAGCTAGGGCTGGTGAAGTCTACAGTAGTCAAATCCAAGGTCAGGTGTCCAGGACAAAGGCAGAAATGCAGGAGTCAGGAGCACAGAGGGGTCAGGGATGAACAGAAGACCCAAGGAGGGTAGGTTCCAGCCCAGTAGGTGCCTGTTGGTGAATCAGAGAGAAGCCCACCTTCTGTCCTCTAAGCTTGTTCTTGTGGTCAAGTTTAACTCCCTCTCAACCCATTTCCTCAGTGAACTTGGACTAGAGTGGGATTCAGAAAGGCGTTCCCAGTGGTATTCAATGGAGTAAAGAAGCTTGTGTATCCTTTCCCTTAGAGGGGGTTTACAGGAAGGACAGAGGAAAGGCAGAAGTGGAGGAGCCCTAACAACAGCCCTCCTGGCCTCTGGGGCCAGCAGGAGCCTCAGTGGCCCTCTGGGTGGGCAGCTCTGGTCCAACTGGGCTGTTCCACAGGCAGCTTGAGAAGCCCCAGCTCCTGCCCTGGTGACTCACTAGGGCATCCCTCTACCATCTGGGCTTGGTCCCACATGCCTAAGGGTGTAGGAGCAGCATCAGCCAGGTCTTGGAAGAGCCCGAAGAGTTCTTCCCAGGGCCCAGGAATTTTCAGTCAGTTGCCTGGGGCCAATGTATTGGCCCCAGAGCTGAGTGGTAGGGGAGCCCCTGCATCAGGGATAAATGGGAGGCAACCCCTAAATCTGGGCTCCTTTTCTGTCCCTGCTGCTATCCTAGTGTCTTGAACCGAACTCCTGCCAGCTTGATCCAGGAGATTATTTTAGTGGATGACTTCAGTTCTGATCGTAAGTATTTACCTTTCTTTTTGGACCCCGTATGCCCCACCCAACCCCACTTCCCCAGAACGCTGAGGCAAGCCGTCGGAGGCTGCACTAGCCATCACACACTGCCCTCTTTGGCAAGTGGGGATCTTTGGTCTTTTCTAGGACTTCTCCCCAGCCCTGGAGCCAAAGGAAGGGAAAGTGATGTTACTTTGGGTAGAATACTGATGTCATGACGTTTTTTAAAAAATTGAAACAACATAGCCAGGCACCGTGGCACACATCTATAACATCTCAGCACTGGGGAGGCAGAGGCAGGAGGATCGTGAGTTCAAGGCCAGCCTTGAAACAACATCAACAGCATCCTTCATAATTTCAACTGCCACATGTAAAAAGACTGTCCCTTCTATGTAGCTCTGTGAGGATCTGGCTGCTTACCATTGCTGGTGCTCTCTGACGCCCCCTGGGCTGGGGCTAGAGTAATGCCATAGAAACAGGCATTCCTCAGTCCAGCCTAGGAGCGAGGCCAGGCACTCCTTCTGCCAGTAATATCGACCATGGCCCTTCCTCCTCCCCCATCCCAACCTGGGACAGCTCCTGGGCACTTTCATGGCAGTCAAATCACTTATGGTCTGATGCCCCATATCTGAATATGCTTGCCTTCTTTCCCTCCACCCTCAGCTGAAGACTGTTTGCTCCTGACCAGGATTCCCAAGGTCAAGTGCCTACGCAATGACCGGCGGGAAGGTAAGTGCTTGGACCCTGGGTCCCACTGTGGACCTGTCTTGTGGGGAACCTCTCACCTCCCCACTCCCTTTGGGTACCATGTCATACCATACCTGATGGCAGGGACCAGGGTCTGCAGAAGACCCTCCTTCCATCACAGCTCACCCTGTCATAGCACAATTGTAGCCATGTTGCTGTGCTTATGGCCGCCTCCATTGTCCACTCTGAGAAGTCTGCCTTACAAGGTTACTATAAGGGTTCAAGCCTTGAGAAAAAACACTAGGAAGGAAAAAGCAGGTGTGACCTCGCTTCCAATTGAGGGGCATTTTGGATCATCAACTACAGCTCAGTATTGTGCAGAGCCCTTTCAGGGACACAAGGGATGGACAAAGCATGGTCCTGGCCCTTGGAGGGCTTTGCTAAGGGTCAGGGTGGCCAAAGGGTCAGAGTCCACCACTGCCACAGGTGGTGTGAGTAGCTTTGGAGATGGAGGAGAGGGAGCTGGGATGAGCAAGGGAAGTTTCTGTGGGGGAGTGGACTTGCCTGGGGTGCTGGGAGCTTCAGGAGACAGGTAGAGGGCAGGTCAGACCCAGGACTCTGCAAGCAAAGGCAGCAGTGAGTGGTGAGTTTGCATTGGTACAGCAGCCCCTCTTCCTGAGCGCTCACCATATAGCAGACGTTCACTTTGCCTACGTTCTCACATTCAGTCCTCAACATGACCGCCTTCTCTGCTCTGCAAACAGAGAAACTAAGGTTTCAGGAGGTTCAGTCATTTTTCAAGGGTGACGAGTAGAGCATCTAGGATTTCAGCCTGGGGGCCCAACCCAAAGGCCAGCCTGTTAGCCTCTCTCTACTTATGCTTCCTTCCTGTGAGAATCCAGGCCCAGTCAGCAGGAGAAATAAGCAGAGTAGATTGAGATGAAGGAAGACTTTGGAAGATAGTATTTAAATTTGATAAGGCAGGTAGCAGGGAGCCACTGAAGATTTTAGAGAAAAAGAGGGGTGTGACAGATATATTTAAGAAAGACCAGTCAGGCTGAGGGGCCACAAGGATATTGGTAAGGGAGACCTTCAAATTGTCATGCATATGACCAAAGAGAAATTTCTCCCAAGTCACTGCATTGTAGGGGCCTGGGACTATGCTGTCACTGAGTTTTGTCAACAGTAGATGTAAATTTATGATTAGATGCTTTCTGGATACCTTTTGAGTAGAAGGATGGGACTAGGGACGTTTGGACAGTGGGACTGCTTAGACAGAAGCAGAGTGCTGGGCAGAGCTGTGACCAGAGAAATCTCTCCCAGAAGTGACTTGTTTTCGGAGGCCCTTCCCTCCCTACAGCTCACAGGACATAGATGACTGCTCTGCCAAGGGAGCTGGGCCTCCACTCTTCTGACCGGACAGGTCCCCCGCCTTGAGCAAGGCCAGTCAGTGAGCAGCTGACGATGCCGTTGAGGAGTGGAAATGTAAGAACAGGACCTAACACATGTAGGTCCCCTAGGTCCCAGGCTCTGTCCTTGTCTTTATATTTGATGTGACACACAGGGTTATCATCTCTCTGAATCTTATAGATAAGACAACTGAGGCTCAGAGAGGTTAATGACATGCTTAAGGTGAGCAAAGGACTGGCATACAAACTAAAGCTTGCTTCAGTCTAGAAGATTCTCTGTCACACCGATGGTGTGGCTGGAGTGGACCACACCGAGGTTCCCAGAGGGAACAGGTTTTGTTTTCTGCTTGTCTGTCAGCAGCAAACCATGTCTTACTGCATTTTTCCACTCACTGAACTTGTCTCTCCATTCATATCTGGTATATGAGGGTACCTGAGGATGACCCTGGGGTGATGATGGCTGAGACTGGGAGGGGAGGAAGAAATAGAAGGAGGAGGAGGAAACACATGGAGGTACAAAGGGGAAGCCAGTCACAATAACTCAGAGCAAACCTCAGCCCCTGATGGGGCAGGGAGTCCTGGGACTTTGGGGGACACTGGGAAGCAAGCTGGCTGAGTCCTGTCCTCTCTCACCTGTAGGGCTGATCCGGTCCCGGGTGCGTGGGGCAGATGTGGCAGCAGCTGCCATCCTCACCTTTCTGGACAGCCACTGCGAAGTGAACACCGAGTGGCTGCAGCCCATGCTGCAGCGGGTGAAGGAGGTGAGCCGGGGTTTCTGAGAGCTGGCCCTGGGGACTTGCCACCTTGTTCCTGGCCTGATGGGACAGCTGTGAAGATGCAGCCATCATGGCTCACCTTCCCCTGAGTGATTCCCCTTACTGAGCTTTCTCATCTGAAAATGGGGATGGGCATCACGTTTGTCCTGCCGGGTAGCTGTGAGACCACATCAGACTCACAGTGGATGGCCATTGTGTACTGTGCTGAGAGGAAGAGGAGATTGAATTTTCAAAGACAAGAGATGAGGGTAGGGGCTTCTACCATGGAAGGATGACAGAAAAGGATGAGGCGGCTAGAACTCAATCGTAAGACAAATAGCCCAATTATTTTTTTTTAATGGGCAAAGATTTGAATAGACATCTCTTCAAGGAGGATATGCAAATAGCCAACCACCCTGTGGAAAAGTGCTCAGCGTTGCTAATCATTCAGGATGCAGCTCTAATCAGGAGCCAGCATGTCACACCTGCTGGGACCGCTCTGATTGCAGGGGTGGATGCTTGCAAGGGCGGACAGGGTGTGGGAAATGGGAGTCCCGTGCATTTATTCCTGGTGGAAACGTAAAATAATGCAGCCATTTTGGGGAATATTCTGGCTGGTCCTCAAAAGTTTAAATAGAATTACCCCATGACTCCGACTCAAGAGAAATGAAAATGAGCCACGTCTATCCACACAAAACTTGCACACACGTGTTCAGAGCAACACTGTTCTTAACAGCCAAAAAATAGAAATGCCTATCAACTGACAAATAGATCATCAAAATGTGGTCTATAGGGCTGGAAGAATGGCTGAAGAGGTAAAGTGCCTGCCTGGCACATGTGAGGTTCCAAGTTCAAACCCCAGTACCACCAAAAAAAAAAAAAAAGTGGTCTATCCTATCTAGCCAGACAAATCAAGTATGGATATGTTATAATATGAATGAACTTTGAAAACCTTCTGTGACGTGAAAGCCAGTCACAAAAGGCCATATATTATATGATTCAGTTGTAGGAAATGTCCAGAATAAGTAAATCCAGAGGAAGACGAGATGAGAGTTTCTTATCGGGTGGTAAAAATGTTCTAGAGCGAGGTAGTGGTGATGGTGGTGTAATGACCATGTGAACATTCTAAAAACCATTCAAATGTACTTTCAGACAGTGAATTTTTTTTTCAGCACTAGGATTTGAACTTAGGGCTTCATGCTTGCTAGGCAGGTGCTTGTGCTGCTTGAGCCATTCTGCCAGCCCTGAAATGGTGAATTTTATGGCATGTGAATTCTATCACAGTACAAAATGAAAGTCTGAGAGGTGAACCCCTTAGCCCCAGCAGTGAAAAGCCATGGACAATCTGGCCCAGTCAGCCACCCCAGGCTTTTCTTATCCTTAGCCAATCTACAGCCTGAGGGGCAGGGCTGATTCTAAGGTACAGATAAGAGGGGTTTTACAACTGGGCATTTTGCAGTTAGGCAGTGTGGTGGTGCACACCTGTAATCCCAGTGATGGGGAGGCATAATTGGAGGATCATGGTCTGAGGCTGGCCCCAGAAAAAAGTGAGATTTTACCTGAAAAATAAACTAAAACAAAAAAAAAAAAAGCCTAGAAGGTATGGCTCAAGGCCCTGAATTCAACCCTCCAGTACCCCCAAAAGTAAAAATAAGAAAGGGGGATTTTGTTGTTGTTTGTTTCTTACTCTGTAGCCCAGGCTGGCCTTGAACTCACAAGTGCCCTGCCTCAGCCTTCCCAGGTGCCCCACCACACCTGCTCAAATAATAAGGCTTTGAGGGTGAACGCAGAGTGGAGAGAGAAGAGAGAGAGGGACTTCGCTTTATGCCGCCTATGGAGGGCAAAGAGAAAGGGGCTGTGACGTGTCATTAAATTTTGTATGTGGGATACTACATAATCCATGCCCGCCCCCCACCAAAAAAAAAAAAAAAAAGAAACAACAGTAAAGTCCACATTATTCACCAGTGTTTTGGAGTTGGATTTGTGTCCTGGGAGATGACGAAGGGAGTGGAAGATCTGACCTTGAAGAGGATGTGTCAGGAGCAGAGTGACACCCCACCCAGCATAGGATCCCTGCCCCCAAGCCACTGGCGGTCCAGTTGGGAAGACTCAACCCAAACATGTAGGAAAACAAATGACAGTGAACAAAACAGCAGCTCAAGCAGCAGCAGGACAGCCACATGACCAGCCCCCAAGTCACTTCCCAGAGTTACCTAGAATGCCATTATGAGATCAACTTAAAAGAAGAAATTCTTCAGCCTGCAACAGTCAGGGAGGGCTTCTCTGAGGAATTGAGATCCCAGGAGGGTTTGGAATGATGTGAGAGGAAGAGGCCAGGTACTGTGTTCAAGGGACCCAGTCAAGATCTTCCAGGAGCCTGGGTGAAGTGATGCAGCACAGCTCCTGGGAGCCTGCCAGGGTGCTGGGGAGGCCCCAGGTGCATCCTGTGAAAACACCAACTGCCCCATGTCTCAGAGCAGGTGGCTGGGCCTCTGTCTCCTTCTATCTCATGTCTCCTCTCCTAGGACCACACCCGTGTAGTGAGTCCCATCATTGACGTCATCAGTCTGGACAATTTTGCCTACCTGGCAGCATCTGCTGACCTTCGTGGAGGTGGGTCCTGCCCCGTGGGGAGGGTCTGCTGAGGGGCATGAGAAGCAGGCAAAAGAGCATTTGAAATTACGTACATGGCTTAGGTTTGTGGCTTGCCTTGCATTTCTCTTGGTCCACTCTGGTCTAAACTGCAGCATTGTGCTGTCCAGTACAGTAGACCATAGCCAGATTTGGATGTTTATATTTAAATTAGTTAAAGTTGGGTAAGATTCACAATTCAGTTTCTTAGTTGTACTGGCCACATTTGAGGTGTTTGACAGACACATGAGGTTTTGACTACCCCACTGGACAGCAGAGATGTAGCACATATTTCCTCACCACAGACACTTCTATTGGACAATGCTGCTCTAGAAACTCTGTTGCTGGGATCAAGTGGTCATAGGGGATTTGTTGTTTGGGGCCCTTGGCTCCTGAGAAATGAACCCAGGCATTATGTAGATTTTGGGGTTGGGGAGGATTCTGAAAGGAGCCATGTGTTTCCCCTCTGGAAAATCACCTCAGGGCCTTTGCACTTGCTGCTGCTCCTGCCTGGAATTCCCATACACCTTCACCCAGGTCTCTGCTCAAGTCACCTTGTCAGAAGCCTTGTCCAGGGCCCTCTGCAACTGGGCTGTGATCAAAGGAAACTCTGTGTGTGGGAGAGTAAGGGGGTCAGCAGCCGCAGTGGGCTCTGTCCTAAGCCCTCACCCTACTCTTTGCTTTAGGATTTGACTGGAGCCTGCATTTCAAGTGGGAGCAGATTCCGCTGGAGCAGAAGATGACCCGGACAGACCCCACCAAGCCCATCAGGTCTGGAGGGCCATGGGCTCTGGATCCCCTCCTTCCTGAGCCAGAAGCCTGGTTGGTGCTTGGGAAAAAGTGGGGATCAGTCGCCAGGACCCTGAGAGCTCACAGTTCCGGGTACTGACTCCACTCTGGGCCCTTGGACCCTGACTGCAGGAACAGAGAGAACAAGAGGCCGTGGGAACAGTTGGAAGGGGCCGAGAGGCAGCAGGCAGCCTGACCCAGTGACTGTAGGCAGGGATTTGGGGCAGATGTCCTTGGCTTCTGGGGCCACCAGACAGGGCTCCTCGCTCCTCCAGCTCACTGGTTGCTTCTTCCCTCTCTCTACCCCTAGGACACCTGTCATAGCTGGAGGAATCTTTGTGATTGACAAGTCCTGGTTTAACCACCTGGGAAAGTACGATGCCCAGATGGACATCTGGGGAGGCGAGAATTTTGGTGAGTTGGGAACAACAGTGCACACACAGCAGTACTCACGACCCTGACAGAGCATTTCTGAAGCCCTGGTCTAAGGACATGACGAGTAGCAAGTCCTTTAATCTTCACTCACAAGGACCCTCTGAGGAAAGAACCGTGCTCTCCTTTTTACCAATTAAAAGCAAAACAGAGGCACAGAGAGGTAAAGCAATTCATCCAGAGACACACAGCTAGACAATGAAAAGGTTTGGGTATTCAGGGGGAGCCCGTGGCTACATGGCTAGACACATGTGAGGAATGGATGCTCCTGAACACAGACCACAGCTTACTTACATGGCTGCTTCCCCACCAGAAGGGCTGGGGAGGTATGCAGTGTGGCGGGGAGGGGCAGGGGAGGTGGTTAAGTGTAAGTGATGGGGTCCAGCCTGTGTATGATACCTGGCCCTAGACCTTCAAGCTGTGTGGTCCTGGCTGAGTTGAGCCTCCCTAGGCCCCAGGTTCCTGCAGAGGTTGTGAGTGATCCGTGACAAGACGGGTCAAAATGCAGGGCACAGTGCTGGTGGCTGTCAGAACCCTACAGACACAGGAGGAGAGGAGCTGCCGCCTCCCTGGAGCATGGGAAAGGGAGCAGGGCGGGACCTTGCAGAAGGGCGCTTGCTTTGCTGCTTCTAGCTTCATGTTAGGGCCACAGAGCACCACGGAGTTGTCACTAGCTGGGGTGAGAGTCCAGACCCCAACTGTAGCACATGTGAACTGGATGTCCTTGGGGAAAGGCAGCCAATCTTTTGAGCCCCGTTTTCTGCCCTTGCAAAGTAGGAAGAGAAGAAGCCTGCCTCCTGGGGCACTAGCAATATGAAGGAGAGGCAATGCGTGTATCGGGCCGGGTCCTGGCAGGGAACGGATGGTGACCCCTGCACAGGTGTTCACGAAAGGACCCATTTACAGTGTGGGCAAGATACAAGGATGGAGTCAATGCAGTCCTGGTGGCACCGTGACCTCAGGTCCAACACACAGGGGGAAGGTGCTGTGCTCTTGGGGTACAGGCAGCCTGCCCATAGCACCCAGGTGGAGGGGATCAGGGATTAACACCCAGTGTTGGCCTCTTGCCACCGAAGCTGCCAGAGGAAGGAAGGAAGCCCACATGGGCAGGCCCCCTGCCCCCCGACTCACACACAGTGGCCAGAGCCAGCAGCGAGCCGTCCCAAGGGTGTCCCAAGCAGAAGCAGTGTTCTGCAGCTATAAAATACAGAACCCTGTCCCTGCTTTTACAGCCCTCTCTCAAGGTCTCCTTTTCATCCTTTTTTCTTGAGGAACAAGTAGGGCTGGTGGTATCTCACCCATTGGACAGGTGGGGAAACTGAGGCGGATGCAGCTTTCCAGATGTTAGCCAGGAAACACCACATCTGTCAGGCGCATCCAGCAACTTTAACATAGCCAGTTCAGTGTTGTGGGTTGTCAAAGTCAGTCTGTGTCTGCGAGATGTTAGGAGAAGGGCTTTGTGCTCTTTCGCCATTGGGACAACAGATGAGCGGGCCCGCTCTGGACGCACACCAACAGCAGAAACGGGCAGGGGTGTTCCTGCTCCACCACTTACTCTTGGAATCCATTTGCAGGCAGTTATTTGGAGAGGAAATTCTGGAACTGGGGTGCAGTGACCCTTCCATCCTGACCCCCTTCATGTGTGTTGGGCCTAAGTGACTTCCTTTGTGTCCTGAGTCTCAGCCGGAAGGCAGCATTGGCAAAGCTGGCTTCTAAGGCAGGGGAAGGGGCAGTCCCCTTGCATCCAGAGGCTTTTTTTTTTTTTTTTCATTCTTTCTTTCTTTTCTTACTTTGTAGGGTGGGGACTGACTGAGAAGCAAGTGAATGATCAAATAGCTCACTTCAAACTCTGCCTGAGGCGAGGGCTCAGTGTGGGGAACTTAAAAGGATGTGTGGTGTGCTTCTGTGTGGTTCTGGCGAGGGCTTTGTTTCTTAGAAGTTCAGAGAAACATCTCCACCAGCAGCAGTCAGTGGCTGGGCCAGTTTGGAAAGGGGAGAGTCCTGTCCCTGGTGGCTTTCAGCCTTTCATTTTATGCCTCTATGAAAGGAAGGGAGACACCAGAACAGAGACCTGTCCTTGGTGTCTCCTAAGACATTATATGCAGGAGCCCAGAGAGACTGGTAGGTGTGGAAACCTTGAGAGTCACCTTAGACTGCGTCATGGTCCTCCATGGCTCAAACCCAACAGGGCATTCTGTCCCTTAGAGAACACCCAGAAATACTGGGCTCTCAGGCCAACCCCGTCCCCATGAACTCCACCAAACTCCACCATCATCTCCCACTTCTCCAACCCTTACTCTACCCTAAGCCATGCCTTTCCCTCTGGGTATATGCCCTTGCTGGTCCCTCTGCCTGCAAAGTTCCTTTCCTGAGAGCCACATGGCTCTTTCCTTCACCTGTTTCAGTGAAAACTTCTCTAATTAGCCTAATTAAAAATGTAACCACCCCCGCGCCCCCAGGCCCGCCACAGCAGCTCACGCCCATAATTCCAAGAACTCAGAAAGCAGAGATTGGGAGGATGGTGATTTGAGGGCATCCTGTGCAAAAAGTTCACCAAACCTCATCACTCAAAGCTGGGTATAGCAGTTCATGCCTGTAGTCCCAGCTACTTGGGAGATATAGTTAGGAGAATCATGGTCCCAGGCCGGCCCAGAGCAAAAACTCAAGACCCTGTGTGAAAAATAACCAAAAGCAAAAGGCTAGGGTCATGGCTTAAGTGGTAGAGTACCAGCTTAGCAAGTGTGAGGCTTCAAGCTCAAACCCAGTACTACAAAATAATAATAATAGTAAAATAATAATGCAGCACCCCCCAAAAAAAAAATTCCACTAGTCCTCAGCTTCCACCCTGCTTAATTTTTCCCCGTTACACATCACCCTCTGATTTGCTATGTCCTCTATGCATTTTCTTCTTTACTTAACTTACTGAGTTCCCATCCCCCCCACCTCCACACACAGTAGGGTATAGAAAATCTAGAACAGTGTATGGCATAAAATAGGTACTCAGTAAATATGAACTAAAGAATTTGACTCAAAAAGTGCAGCTGGCTGGACAAAGTATGAACTTTATGAAGCAGTTCTGCAGCTGAGTAGTTGGATGACTTTGGAGAGGTCATTAAAAACCTTTGAGCTTCACAATCCTTATTTTAAAGACAGATCTGGGATCATTGGTACCCAGCTACAGTCCCAGCTGCTCAGGGGGCTGGGGCAGGAGGATCACTTGAACCCAGGAGGTCAAAATCAGCCTGGGCAATGTAATGAGAACTCATCTCAAAGGTCAAACAAAACAAAGCAAAACCACAGAGATAATAATCTATGTGGTTGCCATGAGAATTAGCTACTGAATGTAAACACCATAGGCCAGAATGAATTGCTCTGAAAATCGATGGTGGTTACTGCTGTCATCAGTACCATTTTTGATAATAATAACAATAATTAATAATAGTCTGAATGTGTGGGCTGAGTGGGATGAGGCGACTTAACTAGCATAACAGAGTTAGTCTGGAAGAAATGGAACCAGAATACAGACCATCTGTCCCCAGGTCTGTCCCCACTTACAAGCCTTGGTTGCCGAGGTCAGCTGCAGAGCTCTGACCATGAAAAGGATGGCTGGCTGGCAGTTATGGGCAGATTGGGAGAAGCCCATTAAAGTGTGTGTTGGACCAAGAATGCCAGTGGTCAATGAGCCACTGGCCCTGTCAATGAGCCACATCTGTGCATCACCTGGCACACACAGGCTGGCCAGGAGGCGACACTTCCTCCACTTCTACTTTGCTAGACACTGGAACAGCCTAGCCCCAAGTATGCCAGGTGAGAGTCCCAGGCCTGGCCAGAGCCCATGACAATCCTTTGGGTCATCTGGGAGTGAGAAATGGGACCATGGTGGGAACTCATGAGAGAATGGTGGTTTTTTTGTTTCTTGTTTTTACTTTATGGCTTTTCAGGGACCAGAAAGAGGTGTTTTAATGACACAGGGTATCCAACTGAAGGGTTAATATAAAGGAACATAATCCATATCTGTATAGTGGCGAATAAGGAAAAAAAATATGAAGGAAAGTAAAAAGTCAGAAGAGATTCTGTGAGGCTAAGCCAGCTGTCAAGATGGCAGGTGGGTCCTTGCCATAAAAGGGGAACAGAGAGGGTATTGTGTTATGTCCCCTTCTGGCCACTTCTTGCATCTCCCAACACCAGTGGGGACCACAGTAATCTGCAAAAGCTCACTTGGCTCCTCAGCCGCCTTCAGAAGGAAGTGTACGTCAAGAGGGCCATGGAGACCACCTGGACTTAGAGACAGGCCTGGGGCCAGTCAGAGAGAAGCCAGCTGGCCTGGCTTGGTTGGCGGTTTCCCACCCTGTAGGTGCCCATAGCTGGCCTACGAGCACATGCGTCCATCCTTAGCTTGTGTCTGGCCAAGGTCTTCTGGACACAGTCTGGAAAGGATGCTGCTGTCTGGTGTAGTGTTCCTACTGTCTGTCATCTTGGTGTTTCTTCACCAAGGAACAGTGTGTATATACGTGTGCATGTGTGCACAGACATGCATGGTGCGAGCCGTGCAAGGTGGGCAAGCTCCCTACTTTATCAGATCTAGAGCTCTGACCCCAGCATATACCTCCAGGGAGACACCAAAGGGAAGGGAAGCTAGCCCCTCCCCAGCAAAACCATTAGTAAGTAGGATTTACTAAGGGGCCTTTTCCCCTCCTGACCCTGCTGTCTCCTGCAGAGCTGTCCTTCAGGGTGTGGATGTGCGGTGGGAGCTTGGAGATCGTGCCCTGCAGCCGCGTGGGCCACGTCTTCAGGAAGCGGCACCCCTACAACTTTCCCGAGGGCAATGCCCTCACCTACATAAGGTGAGTCACAGCAGGAAGAGCCCTGGATGAGGAACAGGACACCGTGGTTTCAGAGCTTGCACTACCCGTTACTCCCCATGTGATGTGGGCTGCTACCCTGCTTCCCAGGCCTCAGTTTCCACATTTGCCCCTCTCAGGTCTGATTTCTGGGATTCCAGGTACTTGGAGGCGTGAAAGGATGATGCCTTGACTCTCTTTGTCTATGACAGTCTTGGGAAGCTGGCCAAATGACCCAGTGAAGTGTTCACTGAGAACCCAGCACTGTTCACGGATGCCAGCCTTTTCTCGGTCAAGTGTCTGTCCATCCATGTCCCCAGCCACAGGGCATACTTGGTCTCACAGGAGAAGACCATCCCATATCCCACTGTCCTAGTGTGGGTGGTGAGGGGGATAGAGGGCTGTCCTGAGCACCCCTCTCCTCCTAAGAACGAGTCTCTCCTCTCAGGCCAGCAGATAGGCTTGGAGCAGCAGCTTCCCATGTCTAGCTACTGAATAACCAGCAGTTTCATTTTGCTCCCTTAACTCCAATTTTATTGCTTCTTTAATTACAAAAGTCGTACAGGTTTACTGCAAAAACTCAAGCAGGACCAATACAAATAACATATATGGAGAGAAAGAATATAATATTAATATAATATAATATTCCATTAAAAGTGGGAGTCCCTTTTACCCATTCTTTCTCGTGTGTGTCACACTGTCTGCCTCTTCAGAACTATTATTAATAGTAGCCTGTCTAGCATTTCAGGCCTTTAACTAGAACACTGCTGTTAATATCATTGCAGGCTTTAATTCCATTTCCACATATACAGTTTGGGGGTTTGGGTTTTTGTGTTAATGGGGTTCTGCTGGTCTCCTTCAGTGGCCTGCTTCTCTGCTCCCCAACACTTGTCACAGACCTCCTTCCCTATCTGCATACACTAGCCCGGCCTTCTTTTTTCAAGGCTGCTTTATTCTCCATCATGTGGAAGTAATCAATAGTTCTGTCGGAGGGCATTTGGGCTGTCACCAGAGTTTGATGAAGCCAATATCCTTGCACAGGTCCTCTCTCCCCACACGTAGCTATTTTGGCGTATAGAGTCCCCCCAGTGAAGAGTCAGAGTAGACGTACAAAGTTGACGGAAATCCATAGCTTACAAAAGATTGTGTAAAAGCTCATCTTGATTGTAACTAACCCTGTCACCTCTTTGGTGACCTTATTTTGCTCTTCTTCTCCTTGTAGGAATACCAAGCGGACTGCAGAGGTGTGGATGGACGAGTACAAGCAATACTACTATGAGGCCCGACCCTCGGCCATTGGGAAGGCCTTTGGCAGGTGGGCCCCCAACTCCCTACTTGCACCTCCACCTGTGTCAGTACACCCCAGCAGAATATAAAGTGGTGTGCACCCTGGGGAGCCACTCACAGTTTCTCTAGCAACCAGCCTGCTGGGTTGTGGGATACAGGGACAAGACCCTCATCTGGAACACACAGCTTATGGGGAGAGATGATGGGAGAAACCTGGCTATGGAAGTGTCACCTGGCCAAAGCTGGCAGCATCTGCAGAAGATGTTTCTGGTTTTGCCTCAACCCCTGTCCAGAATCAGGCTCTGTCAGCCTGTTTTCCTCGAATGGACTGTTATGACCATAGTCTAGTTAAGCATTTTCAGAATGCAGATGGGTTGTAGAATCTATTTAGTGAGTCGTGACCAGCATTAAAAAAGAGAGGAAGAGGAAAACCAACATAGATTATATTAGTACAGAACAGAATAGAAAATCAGACTTGATTGCAATTAAGGGTAAGTATTGTTTTCTTGAACTCTCAGTTGTGTGTGCACACACATGTGCCTGTGTATGTGCACGGGGCGGGGGCGGGGAGCACTGCATCACAATGGAAGGTATATTTATCTCTTACTTAAGGTTGTGGTCAGAAAAGTGTGGAAACATTGTCAATGACTGATCGGGAATGAATCATTTTCCCTGTGTTTATTTATGTCTGTCCTAAACTGGAAGCAGGAAAAGAAACTTCTAGTTCATTAAGTCTCTGCTTTCTATAATAATAAGTACCAGTTTGTGGCATGCTGAGGTATCTGGGAGTGAGAAGCCAAGGGTAAAGTGTGGCCCCATGGGCTGGGCTCATCAGAGCAGGACTTGAGAAGGGGGAAAGGGGGACCCAGGAGATGGGGGGGTGAGCACACAGGTCAGAGGATGACATGGTGCAGCTCACATGGCTGCTGGCCCTCACTCACCTGAGGTAGGTGGGAAGAGGAGGCCTGCCTGCTAGAGCCTAGCAAGGAGCTTCTGAGGTCCTCCTGGGGCTTCCTCCCAGCCATGGTCCTGTCCCAGCTCTGTGTCCTCCTTCAGTGTGGCCACTCGAATTGAGCAGAGGAAGAAGATGGACTGCAAGTCCTTCCGCTGGTACCTGGAGAACGTCTATCCGGAGCTCACGTGAGTGCAGCCCTGGTCTCAGGTGTCAGCTTGGGTGTGAGGACCTTGGCCACCATTTGTCTAGCTCCTTCCAGCCGCTGGTGTTATCTTCCTAAGGAGGCTCTGGGGAACCTGAGGACCATTGCCAGCAGCTGTCAGTTAGGTGTGAAAGGAAGTCTTTAACAGCCTGGCTCCTGGCCCTAGAATGGATATTGTCCCCTTAGGAAAACAACCTGCATTTTGCAGCAAAGGCTGCAGACCTCCTCGCCTTTGACCTTGTTCTCTCCCTGCTGGGAGCTTTCCTGAGGAAATAAAGCAGCCAAAGGAGAACCTGTACCCAGCAGACACCACAGGCTGGACCACTGCTTGGGAAAATGAGAGACACCATGGCCATCATAACAAACACCACACAGGCATTAGGGTCGAAGCCATAGAGACAGAAGAAACGTAGGAAGCTCTGCTTACCCAGTGAGACAAAATGCAAATTGCGCACGTACAGGGTCACAGCCATACGGAGCATGCATGCATGTACACAGGACCAACGGGGTGACCTGGGGCTCCATCTTCCCGTTTCTAAGACCTTTCCAGTGACTTGGCCATCCACACGGGTCACTTCCTCACCTTCTTCAGATCTTGACTCAACTGGCCCTTCTCAGGGACTCTCCCTGAACACCACTTTGACCACCACACTGGTCCCTAGCATGCCTTGGTAGATTTACTCCACAGCCCGGGTCAGCATCTAGCATCTATCTGGATAGTTAACTGGGCATCATCTCCTGCACTCACCTGTAAGCTCATGAGAGCAGGGGCTTTGATCTGTTTTGTCTGTGGCTTTCTAGCACCTAGAACAATCTCTATCACAAAACTGGCACCTGGTAAACATTTCTAAGATATTTTTTGGCAGGACTGGGGTTTGAACTGATGGCCTCGAGCTTGCTAAGCAAGCAGTATAACACTTAAACCATGTCCCCAGCTCTTTCTATTTGTTTTAGTTTGTTTTACATATAGGATCTCAAGCTTTTGCCTGGCCTAGCCTCGGACTGAGATCGTACCTATACCTCCTGAGTAGCTGAGATTACAGGCATGAGCCAGTATGCCTGGCTTGTCTTTTTTTTTCTTTTTTTTTTTTTGCGGTCCTGGGGTTTGAACTCAGGGCCTATACCTTGAGCCACTCCACCAGCCCTTTTTGTGATGGGTTTTTTTCAAGCTAGGGTATGGTGAACTATCTTGCCCAGGCTGACTTCAAACCAAGATCCTCCTGATCTCTGCCTCCTGATTAGCTACGATTGTAGGCATGAGCCACGGGTGCCTGGCATGGGGCTTGTTTTTTACCTCAAACATTTTTGAGAGAATAAATAGTCAGTATGCTTTGGTAGTGTCGGAAGTTAGCATTTTCCCTCCAGAGCTGCTACCAGCTTTCTTCTAAGCATTGCCATGGGACACTTCTAGAATATTCCATCCATCAGCGCCTGCATGTCCTCAAAGGAGGCAAATCTCCTTCTCTTTTGAGGACAGATTTAATTTCTGAAAAGTGGCCACCACTAGGTAGTAGGTGTGTTCCAGGATTAAGCTTGATGATCAACCCAAATAAAACAAAGCCAAATTCCCCAACACAATCAGGCCTGGAAAGAAATAAGACCAAAGGACCTGTGAACAATTTCCAGGAGATTCCAGACCAACTGGAGTGATGCAGCATCCTTGAAGGACAGTGGGCAGCCCGGGGCTGGGGCTAACCAGGCTGCCAACTGTCTGCAAAGGGCAGGACATTTGTACAAATGTAGTGAGCGAATACCTCTTGACGTGACTGCTTGTAAGGGACTGTGCCCATTCACACGTGTCACCTCCGAGAGGCTTCGTCAAAAAGAGCAGGGCTGGTGTACGCTCAAGTGGTAGAGTGCCTGCCTAGCAAGTTTGAAGGCCTGGGTTCAAACCCCAGCACCACCCAAAAAAAAAAAAAAAAAAACCCAGCCATTTCTCTACTCTGTTAGGGTTCTTATCACATTGGATGGTGCCCATGGACCCCAAACCCAAGGGCAGGAGAGGGGAGCCTGCAGGAGGTGCAGAGAGGACTGGAAATGAGCCTTCCTCGACAGCCCCAGCCCCTCCATAGTATCCCCGGAGGCCAGCAAGGAAGAAGTGGCTGGATTAATCCCAAGATGGGACAGTAGCTATGATAGCTGTGTTAAGTGAGGTACATAGGTCTCCTCCAGTTGGTTTTGTCACCCATTCCTAGGTAGGTGACCAGCCCCCAGCTCCAAGGGTGAGGGCCAGGCAAGGATCAGGTTGTTGGTTAGAAAGGAGACGTGTCAGCCTGAATGATGCCAATTTCCCTCCAAGAGAGGTCCTTATTGTTGGTCACCAGAGACCAACTGAGAAGGCTGAAGAAGAGGCATCCACTCTCTAGGCCTACCTGCATCCCCCCACTGCCATTGCCTAGACCAGACCTCTGCAGCTGGCCCCTCCAGCTGCTAACTCATTAATTTTATTAGAATTGCCAGAAACAGTCATGCAGGTTGTGCACTGCACAAGACACCACCTTCATGAGGCCGTTGGTCACATAGTGGATGTCGTCGTATACTTACTACAATAATTCCAAGCAGGAGGCAGGAAACATTCTTCTTCTAACCAAACCAGGATATTATGGCAGTTTTCTAACAGGTGGAGGTGAAGTGTTAAGAGGAATGGGTACCTATGGCTGTTTCTTTGAAGGTATTGGAAGGTCTAATGGCAGCTCTCAGGGAAGAGCCACAGAGAGGGAAGCAGATGCAAATGTCAGAGTGCTACCAACAGACAGGGCAGTTCGGCCAGGTCCTGCCAGGTAACTGCAGAAGGTGGCTTTGACCACCATCCTGGCTGCCCAGGACCACAACCCCAGAGACAGGTCAGGAGCAGCATCTGCTCAGTCATAGCTGCTCAGGCCAGGGTTCCTTCTGCAGACATTGCTGGGCAGCCACATGTGAATGACATCCCTCACCTCTGACGCTGATTAGATGGCATTCCTCACACCTCCCCAAGCCACAGGGAGCAGGGTGAAGCAAAGCACACGAGGGTCAGGAGCAACCCTGGACCCCTTGTGGCATGCACTCCCCTCTAAGCACAGTTCTCAGGGAGGCTCTGACAGGCATCTTGTCTCTATAGAGAGGGGAGATGGAACACATTGCCTCTAGAGTCAAGTGCTGGGATGAGGCAATAGGGAGTGGTAGGGACTGTGGTAAACTGGGATACAAAGGGCCCCACCCAGCAAGGACAGGTGCTTGTATTACAGCTGTGCTGGAGATCAGTGAGGGCTAAGCTTCCTGTTTTACAAGAGGGGCTAGACTTAGATTTTTCTGTGTTACCTGCTTTACTACTGCCAACCAATTAAAAGCAGCACCAACTGTGCGGGTCAGACAAATTTCATCCTGGAACTAGCTTTGGCTCAGGAGCCAGCAGTTTGCAACCCCTGCTTAGAGTTGCATGACCTCTTGAAGGGAATGTGGAGGCAGAGTATGCTGTCGCTAGGAGTGTAGGAGAGAAGGTGATGGGGTTGCCCTGAGGCTCCCTGAAAGCAAATCAGCTCTGGGTTCCACAGGCTTCCAAGCAGTCCAAGGAAGACCTGGTTTGACCGGGTGCTGCAGGGTGTTCACACAGAGCAATGCCAGACAAGTCATGATGCCTCTTCCCCCTAGACCCAGCTTTTCTGGGGACAGAGGTGCAGGAGGCAGGTGAGATTATCAGATTCTCCCCAACTTCCGCAGGGGTTCCATAATCCAAGAACCTTCTGAACCCAGGTGTACAGCCTGCCTCACCTGGGGATGGCAGCCTCTTTAGGTTTGTTACTATGGCTGGGGGTCGGGGTGGAGGTTATTGTGCACATGCAAGCATTTTCCCATGCATAGAAGATGCTTTAATAGCCGGGTGCCGGTGGCTCACACCTGCAATCTTAGCTACTCAGGAGGCAGAGATCAGGAGGATCCCAGTTCAAAGCCAGCCCCGGCAAGTAGTTCACGAGACCCTATCTTGATAATACCCATCACAAACAGGGCTGGTGAAATGGCTCAAGTAGTAAGAGTGCTTGCCTAGCATGCCTGAGGCCCTGAGTTCAAACCCCAGTGCCACAAAAAAAAAAAAAAAAGCTTTACTAATATAATATTTTGAAACATGCTTGTTTAACTTAACACAATACTGTGAACATTTTCCCACATACCACGCATCCTCTCACACAGGCATTGTAATGGCCAGAGTGTTTTGATCCTGTGGTTGAATCAGAATTATGTAGCTCAGCCCCTGTTGTTAGATAACTAGGAGTTGCCACTGTTTTCAGAATCAAGCTCTCTGAGACGAAATGTCTTTTAACACATCTATGATTATTTCCATAGGATAATTTCCTCAAAGTGGCACTGTTAAGTCAAAAGTGTGAACACTTTTAAAGACTTTGGTACCTAATCCCACACTGCCTCCCTAAAAAGTTGAACTAATGTATGCTCTGCCTGGTAGTCTGTGAGCATATCAAATCTCACAGCTGTTGCCAATACTTGAGTGTTAAAAAAAAAAAGTGTGTTTATGTGTACAAATATATGGTAAACAAATAACATCTACTCTAATATGTATTTCTTTAATTCTTAGTGAGACTTAACACCTTTTCATATTTGTGTATTTTCAGTTTGCCTCTCCAAAATGATCTCTCCCTTGTCATTTTAAGATTGGATGTTAAGCCCACTTTTAGGTCCCAGGCTGAGGAACCCTGAGTCTCCTCCCAGGGTCCTCTGTGTTTCAGGCCTGGCCTGAGGCTCCCAAACGAACCCACTGGGGGCTGAAGCTGCTCCCTTCTTCCCCTCACCTGCTCACCTCCCATGCTGGCCAGGTGTGCAAGTCACAGAAACCTTGGAGAGTGGGTGCTGCCCTCTGGAGGAGGACGTGGGTGATAGGGAGGGCAGGGGACCATCCTGACTGCTGCCTTTTCTCTCAGTGTCCCGTGAAAGAAGTGCTCCCTGGCATCATTAAGCAGGGGGTTAATTGCTTAGAATCCCAGGGCCAGGACACAGCTGGTGACTTCCTGCTGGGAATGGGGATCTGCAGAGGGTCTGCCAAGAACCCCCCGCCAGCTCAGGTAAGCTGCTTAGGGTCTCCCATCGAGACTGGGAAAGGAGTCAGGGCATTGAGCAGGGGTGGGCTTCCCTCTGCTTATTCTTGTCCTGTCTACATCCTCCACAAAACCTCCTTCCTAGGGGCCTGCACTCTGCTCCTGCCATATGCCCATCCCCTGTCCAGCCCTCAGTGCCACCTACTGTCTTGTTCCAGAGAGAGAGCTGCCACCCAGAGAGCACCCAGTTCTCTGCTGGGGTGCAGCTATGGCCAGTTTGTGTGACAGGCCACAGACCTCAGACTGTATATGCACACGAGCAAACACATGAATGTCGCATCAACACTAGAGCAGGTCCCAGAGACCCCAGTGTGAACCAGCTGCCTAGCTGCCCTGGTCCCATGTTCTGACATTTCCCCCATCCCCAGCATCCTTTGGTACTTCCTTGCGTCCCGCTGGCCGGCTCCAGCCAAGATTCTCTACCTTAATATTTGATTATGAAAACTTCCAAACAGAGAGAAAATAAAAGAATTATACAGTGATACCATCTACCTACGCTCAATTTCTATAGTTATTTGTAGAAAACTCTACAGAAGTACACAGTGTATTTGTTTCACCACCTCTCTACCCATCTGTCCATCCAGAGCTGTCCTTTCTTGTCTCGCAGGCATGGCTGTTTAGTGACCACCTCATCCAGCAGCAGGGGAAGTGTCTGACTGCCACCTCCACCTTAATGTCCTCCCCGGGGTCCCCGGTCATACTGCAGGTGTGCAACCCAAGAGAAGGCAAGCAGGTAAGACTCCCCTGGGACATAGGCGGCCAGCAGCCCCAGAGGACACGCAGCAAGGGGTAGCAGGCCTTGTCAGGGGAGTCCATCTTGAGACATAGACTCTCATAAGCCCTCCGGAGTTGCCCTGCAGGACCTAGAGCAACATCTAGGTCCAGCCTGTTATTTTACACAAGAGGAGATACTTCTTCAGGTCAGTATTTGTTTAACATTAGTCCTGCCGGTCTGTCTGTGGGAACAACTTGTCACATTAACGCTGGGTCCCTACCCTGGAGAACCATGCAGCTAGAATAGACATTAGCCCTTACTTCCCACCTGTGCTAGGAGTTTTACATACATCATCGTCTCATCCTCGCAAACCCCCGTGAGGTGGTTCTAGAACTAACCCCTCATTTTATAGATGAGTAAACTAAGGCTCAATGGCAGAGGCTATCAAATCACACTTCTGGGAATGGGTGAAGCTGGGATTTAAACCAAGGTCAGTGTGACTCCTCAGCCCATGCTTTAAGCAGGCACATAGTAGATACCCAATAATTATTTCTTGAGTGCTGGCTGACTGGGGAAACTGAGGCCCAGCTACAGTGATTTCCAAGCTGGCATGACCAGCCTCATCTAGGTCCAGCCTATTATTTTATGCATGAGGATAGCATTAAGGTTGGTCTATTTGTCTTCTCCTCTCACCCACACTGTGTCCATGAGTTCTGGTCAGGCCTGCCAGTGGACATAGGAACTGAAGCTCAGAGACATACAGTCACTTGCTCAGGGCACACACCAATTGGTGACAGAACTGGAAGCCAGATTTCTGGAGTCAGCCAGCTCCTTTCTCTGCTGCTCTCTTTCTGGCTAGAAGGGCTCCCTAGAACTCAGGAAGTAAGACCCAAGGTCAGAGGCTACTCCAGGTCTTCCCCTGCTCCCCCTGTGGCAGTGCCCCTGTACCTGGTGTCTGCCAGCTTGCAGATCAGTGTAAGGACGAGGAGTGGCCCAGCTCTCAGATTCGAGCCTTCTTCTGTTTGCCTGGGTCAGCTCTTTCTTTAGGGGTAACTGAAAGTTGCTATTCCACTCTGGAAAAGCAGCCAGATCCTCTCCCTCCAGCTGGGTGTGTGTGAGTCTCTGGGTTTTGGGGCCTGCTGAGTAGGGGGATGCTGCTCATCTCTTCTGTCCCAAGACTCTGCTCTTCAGTGGCGCTGGTGCACAGTCTGTCCACCTGGGAAAGCCTTGAGCCATGCCCACCTCCTCCATGTTGAGCCCAGACCTGGAAAGTATCTATCCAGGCCAGTGCCTCCGTTTTCCCCTTTGTGCTGACCCTACCTGCCAGGCTTGTAGGACTCTTCTGGCCCCATTTGTTCTGCTCCCACAAATCTTGCCAGGCTCCTGAGCACTCTGGGTGCCTGTGCCCCTCCCTGCCCGAGAGGATGGGATAAGCCTTTCCTACCACCAAAGCCTTCTAGAACCTGGGCCTCCCATGATGCTGTTTTGGCCCTGTTGCCAAAGCTAGTTGGTTTCAACTACTCATCTGAGCATTAGACCAGGTGCAGTGGAGTCAGCAGGTCCCACCTCAAGTCACTCCCTGCACCTCCCTAAATCCCAAGCTCCCTACTTAGGTCATGAGGGGCTCCTTCCCCTACCTGCCCTGCAAGGAATCTGCAAACACGGAGAGATGGGAGAGCACTATGATGTGAGATTGTCTCTGACCAAGCCCACACCTGAGTGGCCAGGAGAAGTGGAAAGGCCCTAAGCCCACCTGGTAGGTGGCCATTGGGCAATTCACTTACTGGTTACAAAACAAACCTGCACTGGGTACCTTCTGTGTGCCAGGGAATCTACAGATCATATTGGCTGAAGTGTGAAAGAAGGGCTTGCATCTGACTCCCAAGGCATCGCAGGCTGGAGGGGAGAAGAAAGTACTGCATTCCCAATGGCTGGATGCCAAGGCAACACCAAGTCAGGGCTGCGCAGCCCAGAGGAGGGCCTGGCCTCTGGACATAAGGTTCATAGGACCTCCTGGGGAAAGGATGGCGGCATCCTCAGATGGACATCGCCGGAGGCTTGGCCAATAGGAATGAAATCTGAGTGTCGAGAAGAGCACAAAGCAGGGGGCCACAGGTTCTCATCCATCCACCACTCCTCAGCCTTAGGCTCTCAGCTGGGGTCACATGGGCCCAGAGAGGCTGGTTCTCAGCCTGGCCCCTCACAGGCTCTGCAGTCCCTGCCTCCTGCCCTACTCACCCCTCGTCCCCCTGCACCCCAGCCCTGTGGCTGGGTGCAGCTCAGCTCTCTTTCCCTCCCCCTCTCCCTCAGAGCCCTCAGAGTTCCAGCCACATGGCTGCACACTTATGGTTACAAAAGCTCACTTACCTCTCTTTTTGTTGTTACTATTTTTGTTTTTCTGTTTTGAGATAGGGTCTCCTTATGTAGCTCAGGCTGGCCTTGAACTCACGATCCATCCACCTGTCTCAGTCTTCTGATTGCAGGCATGTGCCACTACACTTCTTATGAAGGGCAAGGAAGATATAGAAATAGGGGATTGATTGCATGGAAGGAAAGTAGGAGAGAAACGAAAATTAGACCTAACTTGGGATTCATTCTTCCCAAGACTTAAAACCTGGGTCTCGGCCTCTCATCCCTTCATGGTCCGGATGACATGCCATCCTGCATCCAGAGCCTTCTAAAATGTTCTTCAGGAACAACTCTTCCTTCCTTCTTGTCAAACCTGAGGAAGGAAGGTGCCAGGAGAGAAAGGCGCTGACCCAGAAGCCCTTTTGTGGCTCTGCAATAGGGGAACTCAAATCCCCCCACCATCCTGCTGTGTATGCCATGTCTGCAAAGATCGTAGCCAGCTTCATGGTTGCAGGTCAGGTCAAGAATATGGGGCTGCAGGAAAAAGAGATCTTACTCAGCAAGAGATTCACCTGGGCCAGAACTCATAAACTCAGGTGCCTGCAGGGAGTTGGTGGGGAAGCCCCTGTAGGAGAAAAGTGAGGGCCTGGAAAGAGCTGGAGAACAAGAGCCCCTCCTAAAGCAGAGAGCAGGCAAATCCTCAGCCCAGCCAATGGATGCCATGCAAGAAGTGAGCCTTGTGTCCAAGTAGAAGATGGAAGTGCACATTTGTAGCCAAAATTTTCAATAAACACTGGGCCAGCCAAACAAAATACATTTCTGGGTTGGCTTCAGCCCACGGACATCTCTGTTGCCTCCTCTAGTCTAGACAGCAACTTTCTGCCAAGCCACAGAAGCAAGTGTCTCATTAGGAGGGGACAGGGCCTAGAGCTTGTGTGTGGCTCTTTCATATAAGGGACATAATCTGTTTAAAATGAGGAAGATGTGTCCTAGGTATATACAGGGTCAGGTAGACACATGTGAAATGAAAGTACAAATTTCTTTTTTTCTTGTGGTGCCAGGGATAGAACTCACAGCCTTGTGCATACTAGGCAAGTGCTCTACCACTGAGCAATACTCCCAGCACATTCACTATTATTTTAATCATTTTCTCCTTCCTTCCTCCTCTTCCTTCCTCCCAGAAATGGAGGAGAAAAGGATCTTTCATCCAGCACTCCGTCAGTGGCCTCTGCCTGGAGACGAAGCCTGCCCAGCTGGTGGCCAGCAAGTGCCAGGCTGATGCCCAGGCCCAGCAGTGGCAGCTGCTGCCACACACATGATGGTAGCCCCTAGCCTCCTGTCCCTTTTGCATGAGACTTGGGGACTAGAAGGGGTTCGGGAGGGGGAGTGTCAAGAGGGCTGTTTCCATCTCCTCACATTTCTACCGGATCATCAACAAATGCCATGGCACATTTCTCCAAAGCTAGTTCCGGGAAGGGTGTGGGGAAGGGGCATGCCCGATGTTCTCTGTGCCACCCCAGCCTTGCTCTGGGAGAGGAGATGGTCAGGGTATGGACTGTTGCTGAGCAGAGATTGGACAGGTGCCCCTGGCCCTTGGCCTCTCCCTCGCCCTGACAGGGATGTGTGGGCTCTCCCCTCACTGTCTGGGGAGAGCAAGGACAGACGTCCACACGGGGGCCAAGTGGGGTCCTGGGGCCTGCCTCTGGAGACAGCATGAGAAGAGGAAGTGGACAGCATGTCTGGGGAGGCTGAAGGCTGGGAAGAGAGGAAAGGAATCTACTAGGGCAGGGAGAAAACAGGAAGGAGGTGAAACACTCAGGAGCCTAAGAGATGCCAAGCCCCAGGGGTTGGGTGTGGGATCAAAGGATTGGGAATTTGCAGAACATAGTTGGAGGAGCAGCAAAGTACCAAAAGAACAAGGTCTCTTCCCAGGACATGTCCCCACTCCCATCCCCCCACATTTCCAGCCCCAGCATCTAGGCCCAACGTGCACCTCCAGTCCTGATCCTGTAGGTGGCCACACAGGAGGCTGCAGAGGGATCTGAGGCATGGCTTTATTAAACAGACACCATTTCCATTTGGCCATGTATCAGGCCAAGGCCTCTCTCTTGGACCTCAATGACTCACTGGTGCCCTGTCCCACCTGCCCCTGCCCACTGGAAGGATGGGCAGCTGCCACACATCCTTGAGCAGCCTTAGCCTTGTGTGTAGCTTTGGAACCCTGCTTTCTCAAAGGTCTTTACCTCTGTAAATACAGCACTGTAGTGCAGAGTGGCTGGTAAGAGTGGGACCTCCTTCCTGGAGCATGAACTATGTCACTAGGAACTAAGTCACCCAATCCAAACCTCACCCTCAGTCTCTTCCCCAATAGGAGGCACTCCCAACCAAGGGTCAGCTACTGCAGTGGGCTGGAGGCTGGCTGGTGGTTTGTGTTAAGAATTCCCAGTTCCTTCTCCCAGCCACTGAGAGCACACCTACCACAGTTCCCCATGGCCTTGCCTTGGAATTCCTCCCGCTATTCCCCCATGTTCTTCTCCCCATGGCCATTGGCTTAGGCAGTGTCATTTTGAGCAAAAGACTTTTAGTACCACAACCCCTGGAGTCACCCTCCCAAAGCAAACCATCCTGGGGCGGACACTTCTACAGGAGGAGCCCCATATCTCTCATAGATGAGGGAGCCCCACACTCATGGGAGTTCATGGATATCGGAAGGTCTAGGAATCTCCAGAAATTGTCCCTGGTATGCATGTGTGTGCATATATACACTTTTCTGGGGAGAGGGTCCCTGGATTTCCCCTGCTTCTTAAAGAAATCCCTGATCCCCAAAGGGTCTGAATCTTGCTCTGGATCGGAGCCACCATCTAGCTGACTGCGGTCCCCCAACCTCTCTCCCTGCTGTACCCACGCCGCCATCACCCTGTTTTCTCTACACGGCCCCTGGGATTGGGAGCCAAGTGTCTGTGGACTGCAGCATCCTCTCTGGAAGGTTCCAGTGACTTCCTCGCACCTCCGGCTCTCACCAGCATCCTCTCAGCATTGCTCCTGTGCCCAGGAAATGTGTGTAGCCTTGCACTCAACACAGGGACCATTGCCTCAGTGGCAGTGCTTCACCCATCCTCCTGTGATGTTTTGTCCACTGCCACCTGCAGACCTAGCTTTGGATGTCCTGTCCACCTGAGAACCCTCCTGCTGCAGCGTAGGACGGAGCTGGGGCCAGGGAGGAGGCCTTTCCCTTGAGGCCTGGGTTTGCTCCAGCATGGACCTTGGGGCTAGGAGACTGGGCTTCTCTCAATGAACGTAAGGACTGCTATTCAGAGGGACGTTGAGAGGGTCTCTCCCCACTTCCTGTCGTCAGACCAGGCTCTGCTTTTTATCAGCTGTCCTTTGTGGGGACTCAGTCCAATTCTGTTTTTGCTTTTCCTCTTCTTGACCAAAGCATGTGCCACTAGCTGTCCTTGAGGACGCTGTCTTTATGAAACACACCTGGAATAAAACCACTTCTTACACACCCACGTGCACCAGCACCTTCCTTTCTGACTCTGGAGCCCAGCCCTGGAGCACCACCTCCCCTGCCTACAGAAGTCAGGCTTCCATTCTATAAAAGTGAACTGAGCATATGTAAGGCGAATCCTTTCTTGCAGCTGGTTGCTCTGGGAAGAGCCAGCAAGTAGCCCTGCTACTAGGACAGGTGGAACCAGAGCCCAGGCTCCTTGTTGCTTCATCACTCACAGGACTATTGGTGTTTAGAAATGGAACTCCAAAGGCTTTAGCCAATCTCACTTCCTCCCTGGGAGCCAGCCCTGACCCCTCAGAGCTGCCCTTCCCCTCCTCCACACACAAGAAGACAGTGGTTAAAAAAAAAAAAATTTACATATATATATATATATATATAAAATATATATATATAAAATATATATTATATATAATATATAAATATATATATAAATATATATATTATATATATATATATATAAATATATATGTATATATATATATATATAGGCAGGATGTTCTTCCTGTGTGAAAACTAAAATAATTCTATTTAGAACCCTACCAGCCCAGGCTTGCTTGATCTGGTAGCAGATGCTCTGCCTGACGTTTCCGTGGAAACCAATAGGAAACCCCCACCATTTCTGTGATCAGAAGCTGAATCTACCCAGGTAAAAATAAATGCTGCTTCCAGCACATATGAACTGTAATGGGTAGGCCAGGATGTCACTAATCTCTCCTGGATGCAGCCATTTCTGACTATGCCCTCACTTATCTCAGGGCAGCTGACCTGGGATTCCCCAGAACTTCTGACCCCTGGGCCTGGCTGGCTGGCTAGCTGCCTACAGAGCACATACTTACCTATAGCACCCAGCTTGGCCTGGACTTAGAAGACAAACCGTTACAGGAATCCCCCAGCCTCCCACCCCCACATCCATCCTCTCTGGGAGCCTCACCCACTGCCTAGCACCTTCTCAGGCTCCTTCTGGCCAGGTTGGTTCAGCTTTCCACCCTTTATCCATTGTTACTCACAGCCTTGAGGGGCTCTGGTGCTGGTGTCTCCTGAGCCAGGCTTTCTTTTCTTGTCTTTCTCCAAACCAGGCCCATTTTCTCTCCCACCTCTCTTTTGCCAGAGGGCTGAGGCTGTTAGCCTTTAATCAGGCCCTGGAGGAATCACAAGAGCCCTGAGGCTGGCTATTATCTGTGGGCCTTACATAACCAGCAATCTCCCCAGGGCAGGAGGGTCGCCTGCAGGTTGCCAGCCCCACACTTGTCCAGCAGGCAGCAGTTCTTGTATCCAGGAACTTGGCTTAATTTTTGTTGTTGTCGTTGTTTGCAGGCTAGGGATGGGCCCCAGGACCTCTCGTGAGGTAGGAAGTGCTCTACCCATGAGCTACAGCCCAGTTCCTAGGCTTTAGTTTCCACCCAGGCTATTCCCCTGACTCCTCAGTAGGGCTCCCCCAATTTTCAGTTGGGAGAAATAACTTGAACAACATCACTGTCCTTCAAGGGGGTCTGGCACCCCAAGGCTGCAGAGAATGTCTTCCCCTGCATCAATGGGGTGTGGTCCTCTTCCACCAGAGAACAGGTTAGGAAACCTGGAAAGGCTGGAGGCCATAACGTCCTAGTTCACACCCACCCACACTCGACTGTGTTCTCAGTGTGTGTCCCTGTGCTAGTCTTAGTCAAGTGTCCCTAAAGGAGGAGGGAGGGGGACCCAAGTAGCAGACCTCTTGGCAAGAGGTCTCCCTGCCAGGCGCTCAGCAAAGACCTGACCCAGGGAGAGGCCATTCTTCTGGCCTGGCAGTCCACCGTCTGAGTAGCTGAGCTCGATTGAGGCTCCAGTGCTACCTGAATCCCTCTCCTGCTCAGTTCAACCTGAGACATGCAGGGAAGAGTGGAAAGGGGTGTAGACTCTAAAGACCCCATGGCTCGGGTCAGCCACGCTCTGCTGCTTACTTAGTGGTGTGCTGTGGAAGACATTAGTTTCTCTCTCAGCCTTGGTTTCTTGATCTGTAAAATGGGAGTACTCATAGCCCTTGAGAATTTTTTGATCTGTAAAATGGGAGTACTCATAGCCCTTGAGAATTTTTTTTTTTTTGCAGTACCAGGGCTTGAACTCGGGGCCTACACCTTGAGCCATTCTACCAGCTCTTTTTGTGTTAGTTTTGTGTGTGTGTGTGTGTGTGTGTGTGTTAGGTATTTTTGAGATAGGGTCTTTCAAAGCCTGGGCTGGCTTCAAACTGCAATCCTCCTGATCTCGCCTCCTGAGTAGCTAGGATTACAGGTGTGAGCCACTGGTGCCTGGCTCCTTGAGGATTTTGTAACTTGTAAAGCACATCTGGCCTTCTAAATGCTTAGTAAATATGAGTTATTACAACAGTAAATATTTTCTAGCCAGGCATGGTATATGCCTATTATCCCAGCACTTGGGAGGCTGAGGCTGGAGGACTCCAAGTTTGAGGCTAGCCTGGACTATGCAGTGAGACTCTGTCCCAAAAATTCTGAATGCCTGCTGTATACCAGGCCCTTCAACAGGGGTGACAGCGTAGAGGTCAGTGGGTTGCTCAGATGCTGATGCTTCTCAGCTTGAAATGACATCCCAGGTGATGCCTGCCTTAGGCTGTGTGAATTGAGGGAAGTCAACTGGTCACCCTAGCCAGGCTGGCCGTTCAAGAGGCACCTCATTATGTGGTCTGGTCTTTCTCCCTGTGCACGCATTATGGTACTGATGCAGCCAGCCTGTTCCCATGGAGGATTCAAGAAGGAAGCTATAGAGACCAAACAGACCTGCCCTCTGCTCTTGAGCTAGTAACCATTACTCCTGGGT